TTGATTTGTTTTTTACGTAGATTTGTTTATAACGTCAGATGTCATTCTACAGTAATTTTTACGTTTTTGTAACGGTTTGTTTACGTTTTTTGTTTGTATTAACGGCCTTCGGGCATGAAACTTTAAGTCCCGCTAATCAGTTGTTTTTATTCATCTAAGTATAATTATATATAGCTTTATTATTCAGTAATATTAAGCACCGTAACACGTACAAGAGACTCCGTATTATTGCATCAAAATACTTAACCTCGAATATATTCTATATATCGAAATCTATACACACACACACACACACACACACACACACATATATATATATATATATATATATATATATATATATATATATTATATATATATATATATATATAAATATATATATATATATATATATATACATATATATATATATATATATACATATATATATATATATATATATATATATATATATATATATATATATATATATATATATATATATATATATATATATATATGTATATATATATATATATATATATATATATATATATATATATATGTATATATATATATATATGTATATATATATATATATATATATATATATATATATATATATATATATATATATATATATATATATATATATATATATATATATATATATATATAATATATATATATATATATATATATATATATATATATATATAAATATATATATATATATATATATATATATATATATATATATATATATATATATATATATATATATATATATATATATATATATATATATATATATATATATATATATATATATATATATATATATATATATATATATATATATATATATATATAGATAGATAGATATAGAGCATAATAGTTACTTTAAAGATAAAAATTTTTCAATATTTCTTTAATCATAACATTTAAACTAAAAAAAAATATTTTTTGTGAAAAAATAATGAAATCTTTTTTTCTGTCTTAAATGTTGCAAATATATCTGAACAACATTGTATTAACTTAATGCTTAACTTTTTTTCCTTCTTTATTAAAAATTCAAATTTAAAGCAATATAATTGAAATATGTTGGCGCCAAATTTTTGCCGTAAAAAAATTAGTTGGCACTTCTGTTAAAAATAAATTTGTCTTTGTCAAAAAATGCCCAATTCAGCAAAAACTTATGGTGACTGCAGAAAATCTGTTTGCTTTTTATATTTGAAGAAAAGTATATTAACTGATTTTCTGATTGAAAGAGTCAAGAATATTTTTAAGCGTAATGTTAATTTCAATGATGAGAAAATTCCAACTGGCATTTGTATATCATGTAGAAGCAAACGCCTTGATAATGTTAGTTTTATTGGACAGATTATTAATTCAATTATCATTGAGCCATCTACAAGGTATTCTGGTGCTTGCCAGTGTATAATTCGTAGGGTGGCCAAATCAAAGCTTAAAGAAAGAATTTTTCCACAGATTGAGCTTGATATATTGAATCAAAAAATAAAAGTCTATGCTAAAACTGACCATATCAAAGCTTTCAGTCCCAAACCTTCATCATCACAGCCAGCTGAAAAAAGATGCAGTGTTTGTTTGTCAGTACTTGCGAAAGGAAACTTTTGTACTATAGGTACAAGGCAGAAAAATGTACAGAAACTTGCTGTAGAGGAACATAAGTGTGATGAACAAATAGTAGCTAATTTAATCTCTAAAAAAAATGTCTCTTCAGGAGGTACTGTCGAACTTAGTCAAACAAGTGGAGGTAAATTTTTAAAAGTTCTGCCAGGATATTCAGCAAAGTACAAGCAGCAACTATTTACTGCTAAAACATTTGTCCATGTTCAAAACAGAACACATCTATCTAATGTTGGTGTATGAAGGCTTGCATCAGCTCTAAATAACTCAATTAAAAAAGAGCTGTAAAGGCAAATGTGAATCGAAAATTTGATAGCCTCTGGAAAAAATTAGTATATTTTTTCATTATTTTAATTGTTTTAATTCTGGACAAAGAAATGAAAAACCAAAGTTCGAAAAGTTGTTCACTGCAAGAACTTAAATGCCTTAATCAAACATCTCTCAGTAAGATGACTTACATCACATTATTTAATTAAACTTGGAATTGATGGAGCTGGTTCATTTTTTAAAATTACTCTCAGCGTAATTGACACATATCGCAAGCAAAATTATACTCAAGGATTATCATTTCTCGAATCAAGTTCTTCTGCCTAGGATGGTGGTGTAAAAAGACAGCTGATTGTTGCTGCAGCAGAAGGTATTCCTGAAACATATGAAAATCTTAGAACAATATTAGGCCTCATACAAATTGAAGATGTGTCTTACAATATTTTATGTGACATGAAATTAGCCAACATTTTATGTGGTATCCAGTCTCACACTAGCAAACACCTCTGTTGCTGGTGTGATGTCGAGTCAACCTTACAAACTTAACAACCTTACAAACTCTGGCCAATCAAGGAACATTTAGTTCTTTATGCAACAATTATGCTGGATTCCTCTCTTCAGGTGCAAAACTTCAATCAGCTAAGAATTATGCAAATGTTGTCCATCTTCCATTAATTAACCCCTACTGGCAATCTGAGCTTTTTCTTGATGTATTTCCTATGTAATTCTTGATGTAATTCCAATGGAACTTCGTCTTTTTCTTGGAATCTTTAAACATATTTTCAAGCAACTCCTTGAAATATGGGATCAAGCACAAGAATGGCTGAATCTCTTGCACCCTCAAATGCAAGCTTATCATGGGGTACAGTTCAATGGTATGAATGCATCAAGTTGTTGAAGAATGTTGACATTCTTCAAAGTCTTGCCCAAAAACATTGGGCATTGCAAGCAGTGCCATTTGTTGATTGCTTCAGAAAGCTTCAACCTGTTAAAAAAGCTTGTTTTTGAAAGATCTTAGAGGCAGAACTTGTTCAAAATATTTCAGAATTTAAGCATTCTTACTTAGCTCTTGAAATTTGAGCTATTCCCAAAGCAATTCAATTACTCATCACATTAAGGAATTTGCTGAAAAAAAATTAAACTGGACTCGAAGTTTTTAGTGAGCAAACCACTGAATCGATGCATGCCAAATTCAAGATCCACTGGCAAAGTTTTAAAAAGCAACCTTCTTATCCTGAATATGAGGACAAACTTCTGAGTTGTGTTATTGATCTTAACAGCAAATGCATTTGAAATTAAATTGTTGTTGATTAAAAACTTTCAGGATAAAAATTGTAATTCAGTGTATATATATATTTAGAAAAATATGCACATCTTTTTAAAAAAATGTTTAAAATAATGCTTAAGAATAAAATTTTAATATCCATTTCTTTTGATTTTTTATCCTACTAAAAAATCAAAGGAAATTTGGTATCTATACTGTATATTGAAATAGTAGTATTAGAAAGTACGTACAAATATTCTTTATTAAAACACAATTTTGAAATATAAGGTATACCAGTTTGTGATATTTGTAAAATTTAAGGCAAAAAAAAGTATTTATTTAATCTTTTGGCTTTAAAGTGATCCATATTACATATAAAATCACTCCTCCAAGGGATTTTTTGGGTCATTTCCGAAGAGGTTAGGACCCCTTTTGGACAACTGTGCCTTGGTTATGAACTTAGATGCAAACAGTTTAACATTACCCTCATAAGATTGTAGACCTAATTGATGTAATTGATGTCTGGATGTACGACTTACATTTCCGGTTGTATAAATTGCATAACCGGGTTTATGAATTATATTTTCCGATGTACGAACTACACTGTCGGAATTAGGTCTTTCTACCAGATGCAGTAAAGAAATTTCTATTGCAATACAACCTCGGTGATAATATACTGTTACTTTCAATTAACATTTCGTGTAAATTAAATGCTCATTTAAATTTTTGTTCTCTATTGTAGATAATGCTAACTTCGTGTCATGTTAATATGATATTTACCTGAAAAATTAGATAATATTCCTCCAACTCTTAAAAAAGTATCTTATTGAAAAGTAACTTAGTACTAAAAGTTTCTGAAAATTTTAAGGCTCTGAGTTCAAGTTTCTTATTAAAAAAAACGTGTATTTCATAACAAAATAAGGACATTATCAACATTCAAAGGATAACATTTACAGAAATAAAGATAATGACTGATATACCGTGATATACATACCGACGATATATTATACCGACTGATATACAGAAATAAAGATAATGACTGATATACCGTGGACAGGGTTGGACTGGCGAGGGGATTTCCCCCAGGCTCCTGCCAGTCCAGAAAGTCTTGGGCCCCACTAAAAATTAATATTGACAATTAAAACACAAAAATACATATACATTAATAATAATTATTAATTTTTAAAATTATTTTGCAATAAATATAGCAGTTGTTACAATTAAATTTTCACATTTCACTAAATCACATTCTTCTCTACCTTTATCACTAAAATCTTTGAATTGATAAAATAACTTTCAATTATTAAATTAATTTCATTTATTTCCATAAACCCTATTACATTTCCTATTATTTTAAAATTTTATTTTCATTGTTATTTAATCATTTAACAAATTAAAAGTACAAAAAGAACACCATTTTTATCCATTTCTAGTTTGTGTATATATATATATATATATATATATATATATATATATATATATATATATATATATATATATATATATATATATATATATATATATATATATATATATACACACAAACTTATTATTATTACAAAATATATTAAAAATTCAAAATGAATACATTATTAGCCAAAAAAGACTAAAATCTACGAAACTGCTTACAATTTGTGTGTAATAATAAATAATGAGTAATTAGCAACAAAATAACTAAAACTGAAACAATTAAATTTGCATTTAATTTTAAAATTGCAATACAAAAATTAAAATTACAAAAAAACTATATACCGTAAATTTCTTCTAATTCCGATCAAAGTTGACTAGCTTGTTTTTTGAATTTGAAATTAACTTTTTTTAATAAATAATAAAAGAAAATTACATTTATAATAATAAAAGAAAATTACATCGACTCATACCAACCATTACCATTTATAATGGAAATGTTGTTATTTTTCAATTTTGAAAATTAAAGTTTTTGTTCGGAATTAAGGACTCATGTTCCTTATTCCAAACGTTCATATCAAATCCAAAAAAATAGCAATCAATTTAAAATGGTAAGTAATTTATGCATAGACCTCTAGCTTAGAGTTAAGTAAAAAGATTTTTTGAAATTTTAAAATTCTTTAATATTGTAATATAAGGGCAATAATAATAGCGCTAATGTAATAAATATTGTAATACTGTAATATAAATTCTGCTATTTAACACTGTTAAATAGCAGAATTTCAATTATTAGTATCAGGTAGGTTGTAGCCTTAAGGAATGCTGCCCTATTAATCTATTTAGTTTGTCCAATTACTTTTAAGCCAATCATTTCCACTCTTTTAAAATGTTTTTAGTTAATTACTCTCAAAAGTGGGTTTTTGTTTTGTTTTTTATAATTGTAATATAACTTGACATGCTTATGCAAAATTTCATTTTAAAATGTTAACTTGATAGGAAAATATAGCTTTCTGACGCTACTGTAAATTATCACATCTGTACTGTACAGCTACGGTTGCGACCTCCAAATTATTACTAGTTCATTTGGAGGTGGCAATCCTAGCTATGCTAAACTGATAATTTTTTTAATTTATTAACCAACGTCAAGATAAACAAGACGTTTTGAAATTTATATAAAAAGTATAAAAGTGCTTTATAGTTATTAATTTTATGTCTGTTTGGAATTAGTCTGTTCGAAATTAAGGATTGTTTGGAATTAGGGAAAACTATGGTATGTGACAAGTTTTGAATTAAGTGATCGTGAATTGCAATATGTGTAAAAGTATATGGTCCTCAAATTTTTTGTTTATTAAAAACCATAATTTTTCATAATGTTTTCCATAAAATCAAACTTTGAAAACTATATGTTTTCCCAGATATTGCATTTCCCAATTGCCTAAATCAACCCTTGTATGATTTTAGGATTTTTCAACCCTTGTATGATTTTAGGATTTTTCAACCCTTGTATAATGTTATTGTAAAAAAGACCCGAAAAAACGTTTCAAATTTTTATATTAAAGGCCATAAGAATGCAATTATAAAAATGCAAATTTAAATAAAATAATGCAAAGTAAATACAAGAGCTTTAGACATTACACATGGAACCAGTGATTTTAACGCTTATATTAATAACTGATTGATGCATCTTCCAAATATTCCACACGGCGTACTAAACAGTTTATTAAAAAAAGTATTAGCACTAATTTTGAAATAGATTAAAGGTAGTAAACAGTAAAAAGTGACATATTACACTTACGCAACTGTTGCAGCATTCTTTCTAAATCTAAAAATGAAGTTGATGAAATAAATTAAGAATGCATTGATATAATAAATAACAATATGTAGTTATAAAATGATAATACATAATTAAATAATGTCTCAAAGAGTCAAAATATTTGAAATTTTATACTTCTCTTTGAGCGACCATGTCGATGGGAGGTAGAATGATCCTCTTCTAAAAGCAAACCAGAATTGGATTAGTTTCATTATTAGAAGTACACTTTAAAAAACTGTAAAATAAAGATTTAAATGTTGTTATTTTTTACCTGATGATGACATTTAAATATGTTTAGATGAATCTAAATAAATGTTACACTAAAATAGCATTGACATCGATTAAGAAGGTATTGATAATAACAATAGATAATAACAATATGTAGTTATAAAATGATAATACTTGATTAAGTTGTCTCAAAGATCCAAAATATTTGAAATTTAAAAAAATAATTGAAAAGCACTCTCCTAAATTTTCTTAACTTCATCTTATTTTATAATACTGAACTTGCTGCTGCTGCTGCAGCCGTTTATTCAAAACTTTTACGAAAATATAGAAGCAATAAAAATATTGCTAAGGAGAACAGGGCTGGGCGATTGTTGGTTTTTTTAAAAAACCTAATGAAATGGAATTTCTGGGTTTTTTTGTTTTTTAAGTTTTTTGGAATAATAATTTTTTTCTATGTTTTTAATCACTAATAGAAATAAATCAATTTAACAATATGAATTTAAAAAATGATCCTGAAAAAATAGTTATGATTTCTTTATCACTGTTAGAATTTCTGAAAATTGAACATAAACGTTCGGAAAGTTATTTGAGTTTCTGATTTGGAAATCCAACTCTTATTCTTAATTTTATGTACAATGTTTACTCTTATGTAAATCAGAACTTGTTCAACTTGTTTATTAGTATGTCTTTAGACAAAACTGCTTTAACTGAAGAACAAAAGACTGGGTTAATTTGCCAGTTCACTCAGTATGTTATTACCGTATTGAGAGATTACAAAAACAGAATACGATTCAAAATGCTACAGATGAAGAGGAAGTCTCCTCAAAATTTTTGGTAATTCGACGGTGCTATCTGGCCTTAGCTGCAAAAATATTGCTTTCAATGTTTCAACAATGTTAACCTCCAGTACAGCATCTGAAAGAAATTTCCCCACATTTGGATTTATTCATTCAAAGCCTAAAAATTCTCTCAGTCAGGAATCTGTTAAGAAACTTGTTTTCATCATTTTCTACCCGCTTAAATATGTTAATTTGTTTATATAAATATGTTTCAATCATAAACTAAGTGTTTACATCAACAAAAAACATAAAACGAAGAACATAAAAAGTTATTAAAGTGTACAAGTGCGTACATATTGTTATGTGTTTCTAGGCATAAATTCTAAAACTATGACTTTATGATTCCATTGAAAGTATTCAGTTATTTTATGTAACTGAAAGCTAACTTGACCCATATTTTACAGGTAACTATAAATAGTACTATATTAATAGAAATAAAGATATGCAAGTACATCATACTAAACATATATGTTTAAACCACAATTCTTTTCTCTGTGGACATATCTGCAGCATTTGATAAAGTCTATCAAAATGTGCTTCACAGTCTGCCGATATTGAAGATGAGTTTGGTGGTGTGATATTGCACTAAAATTACTGAAGTCTTACTTTCACTCTCAAAAGTTATTTTTTTATTGGATTAACAAAATATACTAATAGCGAGGTAAATGATAGTACCCAAGGGCATTTTATGTTATTCCAGACAAAACAACAGTATAATTAGGTATGCGAGTATCGCGTTTTACGGAACCGAATTTTGTACTAAAATTCTGTGCAACGTTTTTCGTAGTCTCTTCAAAGTTAGCGTGCTTGAGAAAGGCTTTGTGGAATAGCCTTTTAGTATTCGTTATCAACATAGATTATTTTTAGAAAAAAGAATAGTTGAAGCATTAGTTCGATTTGTTTTAAATCATACTCACTTAATTTATTAACGAGTTTATTGATGTCAAAATTTTGGTTGTACTTCTGTGGTGAATTTAATGTCCAGGATATAGCCTTTTTTTTTTCTATCCAATTTTTTTATCAAATTTATTCATTTATCTTTGCACCTGCCAATTTTTGTTGAAAAATATTTTGTAGCAGTCAACTTATTTCTTGCTGCACTTTTGTTACCTAATTTACATTTTACCTGATGTTTGCGCGGGAGACAGAAGGGTCCATTGATCATTTTTATTTATATTTATTTTACATATATAGCATTCATATTAGCAATATTTGCATTATGTCATAAATTGATATTGTAAACCTAGATATTTTAGAATAAAAATATAGTTAAAAAGTTTGTAAATTTAAAAGAAATTGTTTTAATAAAACGATTTTTAGTAAATAATAAAATGAGACTTGGGTTTTATATTTCATTTAAAAATAAAAAGAAAAAAAAAAGGTTTCACCTAGTATTTCATATCATACTGATAATAAGAGTTAGATGTAAATCAAATTAGTGATGAATCATATCTAATTTGAAGTTTGAAAGTTGTCTTTATTTAATAAGGAATATTTTTATGAATAAGCTGTTTCAACATAAATTTATTAAATTGTTTTATCTAAACCTTTATGTATAACTTAAATATTTCTTTCGCTGTTTTAGATGTCCAAAGTTGTAGGGGAAAGGCGCCTATGATGGCATACTTAACTTTAAAGCTTCAATATTCAGTATCCTGAAGACTGAGAGCAAAAGATTTGATATGGATACATTCTTTGTTACATGTAGAACAATAATAACCCTTAGAGATTTCATCAGTTTTATTTTTTTATTTGTTGTTTTTATTAAAAAGCAAAGCACAAGTATGCCATCATAGGCAACTATTGCTCCTATGATGGGATATGGGAGAGTGTGGCTGGTTAGCATCAAGGTTAACTTGACAATTTCATTTGACCTTAGAATCTTCCCTCCGAAAGGCCAGAAACTCTTGCAGCCAACCTTCAACCTCTGTCACATCGTCGTAATGTTGCTTCTCTTTCTTTTTTCTACAAATACTATAATGGGCACTGCTCTAAAGAGCTAGCGTCTCTTGTGCCATCTACAAAAATTCATTCTCGTGTTACTCGTCATTCAATTAAGTCTCATCCTTTTTCTGTTACTGTTCCTAAATGCTTTAAAAACTCTTACTTGTCTCTTTTCCTCGAACATCAGTTCTTTGATATTCGCTTCCTTCATCTTGCTTTCCTGATTCATATAATTTGCAATCTTTTAAGTCGTCTGTCAATCGTTATCTTGCTCTACAATCTTCATCTTTTCTCTTCCAGTAACTTCCAACACTAATTAGTGGTTGCTTGCAGCCTTGTTAAAAGCGAAGATGTTTAAAAAAAAAAAAAAAAAAACAAGTTTATGCTCCGTTGATGAAGAGCTTCTTAAAATGATTTCGGTCTGTCTTATTGCAGAGGAAGATGTTTTAAATAGACAATATAGTAGATATTTTTCACTTACTGTGACGGAGACATTTAAAGAGGAATTAGCTAGTTCAAGGCTTCACAATATATTCTCTTTTTATATTCTGCACTGGAAGATTTATGCTTGCCTGCATACCCAGAAGATGACTCAGTTATCTACGAAGACATCAAGGAAAACATCATGAAGCTTTTTAAACCGAAGCCATCGTTAATACTACGCTTTCAATTTGCAACTATAAAAAAAGCAAGTAACGAAAGTGTGACGGAATTTTCACAACGAATTGCAAGAGCTGCTGAAGGATGCAATTTCACGGATAGAGATGATCAAATGCGCGACCAATTCATCACAGGTTTTAACGATGGTGTTACAATCAAACGGTTATTACTGGAATCTGAAGAATTAGCGTTTGCAAAGGCTATCGAAATTGCTGTTACTCTTGAACAAGTAACCCAGGAAGCTCAACAATTAGATGGTTCCGATAATGTAATGATTGCGACAACATCGTTACTTCCGTGGATATCTTGTGTGTCCGACACAAACAAAGTTATATGTTTCAATTGTGGGAAACTTGGACATTTTGCACGGGACTGCGAAGCAAAATGCAAGACTTGTTCACACGATCGTCAAGCTAAAGACTACTTCAAACGATTGCAAAGTTTAAAAGGAAAAGGGAGAATTTGTAAATAATGGCATTCAGTATTCTCCCAGAAATGACGTTGCCATCATTAAAAGTGAAAATAAATGGAATGCTCCGAACAGAATTAATTGATTCTGGATGCTCCATCTGTGATTCATACTAAATCCACGCATGATCTTGTTTTAAAAAGTCAAAAACTTATCACAACTCTGGGAGGAGCTGTGCATGTGCTGGGTGAAACGGTAATCAAATTGGAAATTGATGGAATACACCGGACTGTTAATTCTCTGGTTGTAAAAGAAAAACCATTTGGGTTTGATTTGATTTTGAATGAATGCTATTGAAAAATTTGGAGGAGTCATCATTTATGGTAATAAAAATCGTACTGTCCGAATGTGACACAGCGAAATGTGGTGCTGTTACTACAACGATAAAAAACAAAAACGAAATAAAAGAAATAAAATGTGATGTCAAAAATACAAATGAAGAAAACAAAAAAAAACGAAATAAAATGTGCCGTTACTACAACAATAAAAAACGAAATGAAATAAACGAAATAAAATGTGATGTCAAGCATACAAATGAAGAAAACAAAAGAAACGAAATAAAACATCAGGAATTCGCAGCAAATTTTGTTGGAAAAAGTAGACGGCATCATGGAACTGGAATAAAGAGCCTGTAATTAATAATATCATTTGTGAATACAAGATGAACCACGATTACGAACGTAGTTACCGCAAAGAAATAAATGAATGGATTAACTCTGACATTCTTGTGCCATATAACGAACTAACATTGGGACCACTTACAGGGTTATGCAAAATTATAAAGTGCTTTATGCAAAATTATAAAGTGCTTTATGCAAAATTATAAAGTGCTTTATTTAACAATAAATAAATGCCATTATAATAATTTTCAGAATCATCTAAGAATGCTTAGGAATTAAAATACAATATTAAATTGTAATTAAAAATTAAATGACTAACTGGCTGAAAAACATAAACCAAATTAGTAACGTTTTTATTTAATTAATGCAAGTTTTTTAAATTAATGTTAAAAAATTAAAATTTTAAACCTTACATGGCAAGAAAAAGTCGAATAACAATAACTAAGGAAATTCATGAAACGCCACAAGCAAACAATCAAAACAAAAATTTGTTGTTCAGTGAAAGCGAAAATACTTCATTTAATACGATAGCAATAAATAATGAACTGACACAAAATGAAATGGTAAATGAAGTTAATGCAGCAACCAGTATGGCAATATCTCAATCAACAGCAAAGCCTGCCAACTCGACTAAAAATCCATATATTCATGTGTAATTGCCCGTACATTGAATTATGGGATGTCTTGCGGGACCATATTATAAACAACATAAATTTACAATACATCTTTGTTGTCTGCTAAATATATATTATATAATGTAATATTATTAGATTTTGCTTTTCAAAAATTAAGTTCTTTTTTCGGCGGACTTTAAAACGGCGCACCCCAAACTCGGTAATTAAAGCTTTCGTTACGAAAATTCTCGGTAAATATACTGAGTATTTTACAGAATGGCAAAACCGCGCCGTTACGACAAGTGCCAAAATGGATTCCTCGAAAGAAAAAAAACAAACTTTTTAAAGCCATTTTTAAAACTTTAATTTAAATATTTACAAACCATATATAAACATTTAAAATTATAAAACTAAAACATTTACACCTATACTACTGATATTAGAATTAAAATAAGTAGAAGTTCTTTTTAAGGCTTTATTATTTTATATAGAATTATGAGTTATTATGTTATTATGTTATCAAATGAGTTATTATATTATTATGAGTTATTAATCCTTATAAAGGATTAAATTACTTTCCTAAAATCTAATATTGTTAAATTGGATTTTGTTTAAACTTTTTCTGATGCTTTTTTTCTTTACGGATAAACACATTTGGCGATGCAGCAGCTGTAAGAAGACAAAGACACGAAGTGGTTTTTTTGAATGTTCAACATCTTTAAGTGTAAGTGATATACTTAAACTTATGTTGTTATGGGTTTCAGAGGTCCCTGTTACTGCTGCTGCTGCTGCTGAATTAGTAGGGATAAGCCAACCAACCAGTTCAATGGTATCAGAGACATCTGCTCTTTCAAAGTTTTAGATGTTGCACCTGTAAACCAGCTGGAAGACCCAGGACACATAGTTCAAATTAATGAATCTTTATTTTTCAAACACAAGTATAATGTGGGTCACAACGTTAAAAAGTATTGGATTTTCAGGGCTTATGATAAAACAAATAAAAAAAGGGTATTTGATTAGGGTAGAGGATTGCACTGCAAATACATTAGTACCTTTGATTCAAACTTGGATTGCTCCTGGTTCAACTATACAATCAGATAAATGGGCTTCGTACAATAATTTAAGCAACTTAGGCTATATTCATTCAACTGTTAACCATACCACAAACTTTGTTGACCCTGAAACAGGGACAACAATAAACCACATTGAGTCCTTTTGGTATAGGATGAAGTTTAAATTAAAGTTTGTTTTTGGTTATCAAGGTGATATGAAATGGTCTAGGTTGGATGAGGCAGTATATAGGGAATATTATGAGTTTATAAATAAAGATTTATGGCAAAATTTCAATATGTTCCAGGGTCATATTCACGATAAATATCGTCTTTGAATTACACATTAATATTTAAATTCTATTTTAATTTATGAATTTATTTAATGAATTTTTAGAGCGAATACTCGAATTTTCTCAAATGATCACATACTGTGTTACACTGATGACGAGAAGATACACATACTTATGATGAGAAGAATATACATAGAGGAAAAGCTTAAAACAATGAGATTAAGAAAAAAAGACATTTGAAGATTGAAAGATAGGGAAGATTTTGAATTAAAAAAAGTTAATGAAAGAAAAGTAAACTGAAGAATATCAGAACATTTATTTTGAAAAGCAATAATATATTGTAATTATTTATTTGAGATTTAAAACTGTTAACACCTATACATAAAATTTTTTTAAATGTTTTTTGTAAATTTTTAACTTATTACAAAACATTTCTCAAGTAAGCTTTTGTAAAATAGTAAAACCTTACTTAAAATAATAAAGCCTTAAAAAGAACTTCTACTTATTTTAATTCTAATATCAGTAGTATAGGTGTAAATGTTTTAGTTTTATAATTTTAAATGTTTATATATGGTTTGTAAATATTTAAATTAAAGTTTTAAAAATGGTTTTAAAAAGTTTGTTTTTTTTCTTTCGAGGAATCCATTTTGGCACTTGTCGTAACGGCGCGGTTTTGCCATTCTGTAAAATACTCAGTATATTTACCGAGAATTTTCGTAACGAAAGCTTTCGTTGTTTACCGAGTTTGGGGTGCGCAGTTTTAAAGTCCGCCATTATTTTTGAAAAAAAAGTAAATTGACTTACCTTAGAGCAATACAATGCATTTCATTGTCTTTTAAGTAAGAAGGGATACAAACTTCGGCACATATATTTCCTCTTATTGTGACATCAATAAAACGACTTAAAAGACCTTCGTTACTAACCATTTTGTTATTGTTGTAAAGAAATGTATCCAATAAAGTTTCATAAAAAGTATTTAAATCGACAAGATTATCGGTTTTAAATCTTTTAAGTACATCATCAATCAAGTTGTAAGCCATGCTTATACGTTAAAATTTTAAGGAAATACTTTGTTTTAGAACGGAGTTCTTTGAGTTCTTTGCAACAAATCAAATTACTGCTGCAAATGCTGCAAAGGATAGTTTACACTAAACATGTTTTTTTTTTTAAACGAATCAAATTGCTACTTTTAATAGCGTAAACCAACGAACTTATCCAATAGCGTAGGGTTGCGTGTCTATAAATAAATTTTAAAATTTCACGCGCAATGAATTTTGGGATTGAATGCGGACAAACAAACAGACGATGGCAAAGAAATATTAGAGAGCCTATATACTCAGAGAGCGGCCATACGGAAAATATGGAAGAACGGCGGCCATGTTTTTGCCAAACTAGTGTATGACATTCACGAATTCAAGTAAAAACAATTGAAAGAAAATGAGCACAATAATATTTCAAACAGAAATATATTTTTAAAAATTAAACCTTTTTATGTTTTATTTTTTCAAAATTATTTTTCGACAGAATTATTTATTTGTTTAGGAAATACCTTTAAAAAAAAACACAGCAAAAAAGTAGTTGTAATCAATAAGTAATATGAAAAAAGCTTTACAGTTTATTTTATAAATTAGTTGAACCTAAACCTTTAGTACCAGTGCATGCATTGTCATTCTCTTGCTGCCAAGTTCACAAGAACTTTTTTTTAGTTTTTTTCTTTTTACATAATAAACGCTTTTTTTTAAGGCTAAATATTTTAAGTCTGAATGTTATAAACCTATTTTTTAGCTTCAATTTAATTTGATGACAAAGTTAGACTTTTAATTTGTTCATCAGAATTAATTTTCTCTAAAAGCATAGTATTACAATTCTTTTGGGAATTAAGGTATGGCTCAAATGATCTGAATATTAACTCCATTTGTAAAAAGAATGCAAATGTTGTTTCATTAGCAAAAAATAAACTACCCACTTTGTGCTCTTTGTCTGTAACAAACTTTGTGTAATCAGCATTAACTCTATTTTTAGAAACTAGAGATTCAAAACAAATTGTGCAAACTTTTTCAATTTTTTTAACTCTAGAAATTATATAACCAGCAACATGAAACAAACAATTTTGCTCAGATTAAGTTAGAGGTTTTATCCCAATCTTTAGGTAACAAAATGCACTCTCTTTGCTGTGGCTTATGCACCTTACTATTAACTATATCAAGAAAACCAGATAAGAATTGACGGTCATCTATATCGTAACTGTCTTTTGATGATTTTTTCAAGAATTGGGCAACGCAAATAAGTTTCAAGTTATTTTTAAATTGAAGAGCAGTATGAATTACTTGTTTTGCACGTACCAGGGAAAAAAAATTCTCCAGGTAATCCTGCTTAAATCGTGATGTCGTTAGAAAATCAAACTTTTTTTCTAGAAGAAACTTATTTTGCAAGTTAATAACTGATGTTGTTGATAATATAACACCAGATTGAATAGGTTTCCACCTTATTTTTCCAGTTTGGCCTAATATTTTTAAACCATTGAATATCTCTATGACTTCATTTAAAAAAGTTATTGTTTCATTGTAAACTTTGTCATTTTTCATGCTAAGAGCCATACCTGGGTTTCGTGAAGTCATTAATATAAACCATTTATCAACAATTCCTATAAACCAAGCAGTTGTGAGAATAGAATCATCTTTTATTTCACTTGCAATAAGTTTTAATCCACAACTTACATCATGATTCATTACAGATGTTGCTCTTGATACTTACATTTTGTTAAAATGTTTTTCATTAAGATGTTCAGATGTAAGCTTGTAAGCAAACTTCAAATCCATACCTTTTTGAAAGTCTACAAGCTTGTTAAGGTGTTTTGAATCTATAATTGGCGATTGAAGTTTATATTTTTCTTGAATCTTAGCTGTTATTATAAAATGTTTGTTACATAAAAGAGATGTTCTTATATTCTTTAATAAATGTGGTACGTCTGCTAAAAAATCAATTGTACGAGTAGGGTCACATGGGTGTTTAATTAAACTAGAAATACTGCCACTTTTAGTACAGCTAATATTAAAAGATTTCCACATTGCCTGGTTAATGGTATCCATATCAGAAGTAACACTATTAACTTTTAATCCTATTTCTTCAGTATACTTTATTATAGATAGGACAATGTTTTTTAAAACACCCCCATTAACAGAACTTGCAGTATAATAATATGCAACAGTTTGTTTCCATCTTGTAGATATTCCTCCAAGCATAAAAACTAAAGCATGGTTAGCTTGGCCATAATGTTCAGGTAATATAACAGCTCCATAGTAAGAGCTTGTAGATGTGTCATAGTCAACACTTTCAGTTATTGACATTTCATCAAGAATTAAAACACATTCTTTTTCATGGATTTTCATGGCATTCACCTTAGTTTTCATAAACTCAAAGACTTCTGTTAGAATGCCACTTTGAAATTTTAAATTTTCTAATCTTCGTCGTAGGGTACGTAATGATGGGTATGGTAAGTTTAAACGAAGTAAATTTTCATAACCACTTTGACCACATGTAATTTTGAGTTCTAACGCTTCATTTATAGTATCATTTGACCATTTAAAGAATTTCATATTTTTTCTACTTAAGGATAAAATTTGATTTTCTTTAAATATTGTTTCCAAAACTCTGAATTTATCTCTCTTTATATGATTATATTTTTGAATAGTATTTATTCTTGCTTTCGATTTTAAAATGTTAATTTTTTTTTTTTTATTAATGACTTTTTTTTCTAATCTCTCCAATTTCGCATTTAAATCTTGTATAAGTAAACTTTTATCAACCTCAGTTGTGCAAAGTGATTCAGATACTTCATTGTTATTTACTTTAATTAAAACCTTTTCCACAACTTCTCCACATTCTATACAACTTATTTTCTTTTTTTTTGGTATTGGAAAACGCTCGAGTGGATTTTTTCGCTTATGTTTTGCTCTAACATGTTTAAAGACAGTAAGAATTGCATTATGTTTGAGTTTTCTTGATCCATCTTCTCTGGTTTTTAACCCATTGATCAGCATCAAAGTGTACCTTAATAAAAAAATTGAACGAATATAATGTATTTGTATGGATTCTAAAATAACTCATAGGATTATTATTATTCTAGGATTAATTACATAAAACTGTATTTTCTTATGCTTACTTCAAATAAAAAGCTTGTGTTTGTAGGTATCCAGTTAAGTCGTTTAACTTTAGAAGTCCAAATCGCCCGTTGTTTTTCATTTCTTGGGAAGCATTCCATAATAAATCCTTTCTCAGGCCTGTTATGGCAGCCTACTGCAGGCCAACCAGGCATACTTTTACAAATATTTAATACAAATTTAGTAGTAGACTTTAATCGCAGTTAGTATTTTTAGCAAAAAGATGGCGTCTAAAATCATAAAAATCGAACAACTAATCAAAAACGATCACACGTATGTCCGCTCACTGAGTATATAGGCTCTCTAAGAAATATGAAGGATTACTGGCGACTGGAGCAACCAAACATTGTTGCTGGGGAGTTTGCCGTTCCGATAGTCGTTATCCAGATAAATTACCAGCAGAAACATTTTTTTTAAGGTTTCCTAAACCTGGTAAAAATAAGGAATGGATGCCAGATTCGGAAAAAGAAAAACAAAACATTAAAACAGAATGATGTAAAAAATGGATTCATGCTTGTGGTAGAAAATCTTTTAATATTAACAATATAAAGAAAGATACGTATATTTGTTCGTTACTTTTTTTTGAAAGTAAAGGTCCTACTAAAGATCATCCTAATCCATTGAAACTTACAGAACAGCAGATTTACTCTATTAACAAAAAAAAAAGAAAAAACCCAACCATTCGTGATGTTGTTATTAAGTCTAAGAAAAAGGCAGAGATATCGGACCTTGTTGATTTTCAAATAAAAATCAGTAGTAAATTAAATGATCATTGTAATTCTTTAGTTTTAAATGAATCAAATAATATTATTGTTAAAACTTTTGATGAGTCTACGTAAACCATTTATGATAAACATCTACTTGCATCAAAAATTGAAACAGTTATTTTAAAAAGAAGTCTAGACAATTCTATTCAATTTCCCTCATCATCTTATTCAAGTTCTTCCAGTATATCAAGTGTACCATATAGTAATTTCATGTCAATGGAGTATATTTTATCTTCTGAAGTTAAATGTAAATATTTTATTGGTTTAACATAAGCTCAATTTACTAGCTTATATGATTTTCTTGGACCTGCAAAATTCAATCTCTCCTACTGGAATAGTTCAAGAAAAGTTAAAAACTCAACAGATTCATCTAAGCTATCACTAAAAGAACAGTTGTTAGTTACATTATTAAGACTTCGTCGAGGGTTTAATATATTTACTCTTGCTCATATGTATAATGTGAGTTTGTTTTATATACGTTCTATATTTACAACTTGGATAATGTATATGTTTCATCATTTTAAATGTCTTAAATATAAAATGTTTCCAGAACGTGAAGTTTTCAAAAGAACATTACCTAAAGTATTTCAAACATCCAAAAATATCCGTGCTACTATTGACTGTGCAGAGTTTAGATGTGAGGTTCCAAGAAATTATGCTCAACAAGGAAACACATATTCATCATACAAGCATCATTGCACTATGAAATGTCTTATTGCTGTGAATCCTAATGGTGCAGCTTGCTTTGTATCAGACTTGTATGAGGGAAGCATTACAGATGTTGATATATTTAATAAATGTAGTATTATGAAACATATTAATCCGGAAGAAACACTTCTTGTAGATAAGGGGTTTAAAATTCAACATTTACTTTTAGAAAAACAAGCTACTTTATTTATTCCACCTTTTTTGGGTAAACGAGAAAAATTTACTGCAGAAGAAATAATGCTGACAAAAAGAATTGCGAAAGCCAGGATCCATATAGAAAGATTTAACGAGCGTTTAAAAAAGTTTAGAATGATTGATTGTGTTATATCTCAATCGTTAACACCAATAGCTTCTCAACTTGTTTTTGTTCCTTCGTGCCCGGTTAACTTTTAAGATTGTTTGTGTGTTTAATAATTATATGATAGTTATAGTTAAGAAGTTACTTATTCTTCTTTTCGAGTTATTATTTAAAATTATTTTGATTAAAATTTACAAAAAACTTTTTGCATATTGCCTCCCGAATTAATTTCTTCAATATTGTTAAACAATCTATATTGAACAAACACAGTTTTCTAATTTTAATAATTCTAGGGTTATTACACGTTTTTTTTATCAAAGATTAAATAGCTGTATTAGGCAAGTATAAAATCATTTCAAATAAATTGAATTTAAAAAATCAGGATTTCAATGTTCTACTTGTTTAATTACAGAGTAAATTTAGCTTCATAGTTTAAACAGTGTATCTATTACACAATAGGAAATATTGTGTAATAGTAAAATTTTTCTGCTCTACTAAGGTATGGGATAGAATTAGAATAGTCAAAGGTGATAGATAAACTCCAAAACCAAAACCATTGCTCGACCTCTCTCTGTGGAGTAGGGAGAGGGGGTGATGTTTACTCGAAAATTAAAAAACAAAATGATCATATTTATGTATCAGATTATTATATTTTTAGAGCTTGTAAAGTTCCTTAATTTAATAGAGAAATAATAAAAGTAATTTTATAGTTTAAATCTTTAAAATAACACATTTGGTGTTATTTTAAAAACAAAATAACACAATTCTTAAATATGGTATCAGTATCAATCCTATGTTATTTGAAATTAATTATGGTTATAGGTTATATTCTGGAAAGTCCTGTATTTTTTTTTTTTCTTTTTTTTTTTCATATTTTAAAATAACATTGGTTTTATAGTTAAAAATAACATAGTTTTACATTTATTCTTAACTACTGACGTTTAAAAACGCGATACTTTATTCTTTCAAATTTTGAAGAAATATGTAAGGCTTTTTATATTTTAAACGTGTTTCCGATCATCCTGGGCAGTTTCAAGCAGCACATGTGCCGTAAGGATATTTTACTAAAATATGCAAATTTTTTCTAATCTTGTTTTCCTTGAGGAAAAAAAGATTATCAATTTTCAATATGGGCAGCACCCAAATACGGTCAGCGCTGTCGAAAACAGTCTAGAAATACGCAGTAAAACTTGCATATTTCCTGCAGTATGGACCCTTTCGATCATACCTGCGTACTCTAGTCTGCCAAATAATCGAGAGGGGATGCTCATAATTTTTCCCAATCTCCGTCCTTCTACAGCTTCCACTTCCGGAGATTATAAGGATCCCCGTCTATCAATTTTGAGGAAATGTTAAATGGTTTTTTACCCTATAACATTCATAGACCGTACGTATTTATGCACCCTATAACATTTATAGACCGTACTTTATGGAAGTGACGTTAAAACATGATGTAATATTTTAAGAGTTGAATAAGCACATTAAGTAACATTTTAAGTTTTAAGTATAGAGTAATACAACAGGAGCGTACCAGGAGGGAGGGGGTTCTAAAATCAGTGGTTTTATGCTACTTTATGGATGCCCCTTTACGTACTTTATGAATGCACCCTTAAGTACTAAATGGATACTAGTTCATATCAAAATCAAACATTCGAATGGAATTCTACGAAAAATAAAACACCAAATCAAATCTTTTAAAAGCAAATATTTAACTCCAAATTTTTCAAATAGGACTTTAAATTTCTGACAAAGTTCAATAGTTTCTTTGTGTATGTCCGTATCAGTGAACCCAAGTTCGACTACGAGCTTTGGTATTGAGTTGCATAGTTTGAGAACACTTTTCATCTAATAATGTTTTTTAAATAAAATAAGTTATATATGTTAAATTACACTTTCAATTTACACTTTTTTCACATATATATATATATATATATATATATATATATATATATATATATATATATATATATATATATATATATATATATATATATATATATATATATATATACATATACTTTTTTCTAAATTTGAAATATACCAGTATACAATTTTATATTACTATATGTATTCACTATATGTATACTATACTATATGATTAGTTTACCTTTAACATCTTGTTAACATGATTACCAACAAAATTTTTGCCATGGTATGCTTGTCTTTGCACTCCTAACAAATTAAGTACCTCGTCGAGTTTATTTACTAGTGGACCAAATGACATCTTTACATGGTCGGTGTCTTTCAGTATTTTCAATTCTGAGATCTATGAATATAAATTTGGTGATTGATTCTGATAGCAAAATGTATTATTTATGATTTATATTTTTAGGGAACAATAAAATTAAAAATCTTAACCTTTTTTTTTCTCTTCAAAGTGAATTATGCGTGGTTCAAATATTAACTTTATATATTCTTCATTTTCGGGGTTAGATAATATGTGAGTTTCAAGTGCTTCTGTTATGATTCGTGTTTTATCTTCAAGATTCTGAATACTTATCTGAAGTTGTTTTATTTGTTGTTGTTTCTCAATATATTTGTTAAACTCTTCACATTCAAGTGTTTGGTTGTTTACTGCCATTTGATCTGCAATTTTGACGTCAATTGTATGACAAGACTCCTCTAACATGTTGAAAAATTTTAAGTACGTCTCAAGTGAGATATGTAATGCTGGAATTCCGATCTTAAAGTGCAATAAAAAATATTTAATAACTTTTAACAATCAATTTAACAATGGCTGTAATTAAATTAAAAGTTATGCATGTTAGTCTGAAAATAATTATTTAAAGCAAAGTACTTGATCAAGTGGCACATTAAATAACCTTTGATCAATATTATTATCACATAACTTGGCAAACAAAAAATCTGAACCATGATTTTTAAATTTTTCTAATTGTGAATCTAGTGTCTCAAGTGATCGCATTTCAATGTTGTTCTTAATATGAGTTGACATTCCTTGTCTTGTGATGTTGCATAACTGGCATGCATGTCTACCTGAAGTTATCAAACAATTAACTACTTTACTTAAAATTAATCCTAAACAACATAAATAATTTTGTTGCAATATTTTGATTTAATTGGTTGTAGCATTCTTACCTCCAAATGGTGCTTTGCAACAAATCAATTTCTGATTTAAATCTTGACAGTGAAAACTTCAGATTTGTTCTACAATCTCTTGCTTCAAATATTTTAAAGACAGTTGTGTTTGTTTTTGAAATTGGCTTGACTACGTTCACTAATTGATAACACATTTTGAACGAGCCACCTCCATGATACCCTCCTATTTTTATATGTATTTCATTGCCTTTAATCTTATTGTTCAACAGTAAGTTGTTTCTAAAATGTACTATAGAAGTAAAATTAAATTTCAGAACTGATTTTTTTTCTATAATATTGAATGTGTGCCAAATAAATTTAGTTTGTTTAACATGGATAGTATATTATTATATTTTTTAGTATTATATGTAAACCTTCCATGTCAGAAGTTTTTTAAGAAATATATACTATAAGTATTTTTATAAATAAGATTTGTTTTTATCTGTCTAAACTATCTAGCACATTTATTATATATCCTTGCAGATTGTTGATATAAGCGCATGGCAATTTTTTTATTTCAAAAGAACCTTTTGACTCCTTTTTTTCAACCATAAATGGAGCTTTTTCAATAACAAGATCATCGCATGAACACTTCTTAGCCACACATCTTTGTTGTGCGTTTGAAGCACAAATGACGTTCTTGGTCTTCAACCACCTAAAACAATAGTCCATTTTATTTTTTTGAAAAGGTTGTGAGTGTTTTAATTTATTTTTTTCTGGGTTTTTCTATAATAACTTTAATTTGTGTACCTGGATAGTATTTTCATGTTGGTATAAATATTGTTCATGTTAGCTTTTAAAATTATAATTTCTTCAGCAGATATTTTGGTTTTTGAAACATTTGAATTACTTAAAATAGTTTCTTGTTCATTTTCATTAAATGATTTTAAAAGAGTAAAGGTTTGCTTGATTTTAGACCTTGTGCTTTCACCACACGTTGTGTTTATGTAATCGTTTAACTGTGATTGTCGTTTACAAACTGTCTGTAAAGTTACATCTTTACTTTCTTTATATGCTTTTTGTGTTGATATGAAGCACAAAGGCTAAAATATCATGTAATTTATAAACGTTTTATATATTATTATATTATATTAAATATAAAATTTTATAAGTAATATATATATATATATATATATATATATATATATATATATATATATATATATATATATATATATATATATATATATATATATATATATATATATATATATATATATATATATATATATAACATTAGTATATAATAGTATAATAACATTAATATTTCTCTTTTTTAACTAAAATAATCTTACCCTGGTCCATCAGTCTGAAATTCTGTTACATTGGACGTTGTTTGCAACATTTTTTGTTTAATAATATGAAGTGCAACAGCATCAATATCCCTTGTGATAACACTTGTTGAACTTAATGCAAATATATCTGATAGACTTATATGCGATGATGATGTTGTCAAGGTTGAAGAAATTGGTATTGGAATCTTACAAATATTTTGATGATTCATGTGTTCTGACAGTTGTGACACTATAAATAATCTACCACACCTTTGCTTACATTCTTCTTGAAAATTATTTATCATTTCAATTACACTGCTAGAAGAAGTTAATCCATCGATTGAAATTGATAATGAGAATTTAGGGCATTTTGTTTCAGATAATAGTTTATTATTAATAAGTGGCAAATACATGGTGCACAAAACGAATGCAGACAATTTTTTAAAATAATAGGTTTATACATAATATAATTGCAAATATAACAGACACAAAGATGTAAAAGTGGGTTAAGAATTTTATTAATGTCTTGCAGTTTTAGATTCAAAGTTGGTAAAAGTGGAAATTTAGCTTGTATGTTATTTATTTCTTGTCGAGTCCGAATTTCATCATTGGCAATACTTAAGGGCCTTCCCTTTACAGTTTTATTTGGATTTCTTCCTGTATTTAATTTGAAGCAAACACATTCACATTCCTTGCAATTGCTAATCCAGGTTCTTAATTTAAGATTAGTGTTTGAACCTTTTTCAATGTTTCTCATTGTTAAATAGCATCTGTTACACATTTTCTGTGGGTGCATCTCTGAGTCGTCCTTGTCGATTCGTATAAAAAAAAGGCAATTCTATTCTAAATACATGGATTGTTAAAAAAACACTTCTTTTTCTAAGCTTTTCTCCACAAATTTGATAATTTTAATAGTTTTGTTATATGAGACTCAGTCATTTTTATATTTATTGACAGCTAAATAATAGGATTTGACGTAGAGTGTTTTATAACTTAAAAAAGTTACCCAAGTCTAATTTTTTTTTAAAATAAAGATTAATTCTTCTAGTTTTTAAATATATTAAGTTTTAAAGCATAAAAATTTAAATAAACGCTTAAATATTCAGTTTTAGTAGTATACATAACCATAAAAAAAGTTTGAGTTTCCCGCGTATTTTATGACACTAAAATTTAAAAATTTTAAAGTTTTAAAAAAAGAAACTTTCCATGGTCATATTTTAATCAATTTAAATAATGTGACATATATTATACATCTTTATAGGAAAGCTATGAGCTACTTTTTTAGGGTGTGTTTAAAAAAAAATTAATATTTTTTAACAAAAACTGCGCATGCGCACTATAAAATAGCGCGATTGTTCAATATTAAACCACCGTGGTTAATATTGTCATTTTTTATAAAAACTCTATAGCTTTAATTGAATATTTTTTGTTTTGTTTATTTATTGTTATTTTTTAATGAAGTAATTATTTTATTTTTATCGTTTCTATTATGGTTATTGATTTTAGGATTATTATTTTTATTAAATTATTGTTACTTTTTTTTTACAGTAATTGTTTTACCTGAATGGTAGGTTTTTATGTCTTGTCAGTACATAACTGTATGTAACTTTCCTGTGTGTGCATTATATTTAATTGTTGTTTTAAAACTGATATTGGTTTATTATCATACAATTTTCTTATTATTCTTATAACTTTTAACTTATCATCATTATTATTATCATTATTATTTGTATTATCAATCCTAATTCATGGTATTTACTTAAGATTAGTTTTTTAAACTATTTGTAAATGACCTCGATTGTAAGATCTTTTATTGAAAAATATATTGATTTGTAATTGATATCCATTTTACATGAAAAACAGCAACTGAATTTTTTTTTATCAATAAATTTAACAATTTAATAAAACTTATTTATCATTCTCATAGAAATAAAATATATGCTAAATGTAGTAATAAATTATTTAAAAAAAAGGAATTATAGGCATTAAGTGTAATTACAACTGATCATTTTGTTATATTTGATAATCGAAAAAAAACTTCAACTTGTGAAATGTTAAAATATAAAGCAATAAAAAATACTAAAAGTGTTTCCGAAAATAAAATGCAAATAAATGATAATTTTTTTTTTTTATACATTACATGACAATCATCGAAAGCAATTTTGTTAATGTCATTTATATGATCAAAGTCATTTTTTTAAATTATTATCTATTTTTTTAAATTATTATATATGGACTAAATAAAGAATTTTAATATATATTAAAATTCTTTATTATAAAGAATTTTAATATATATTAAAATTCTTTATTATAAAGAATTTTAACATATATTAAATTTCTTTATTTAGTCCATATATAATAATTTAAAAAAATAGATAATAGTTTAAAAAAATGACTTTGATCATAAATAATAAAGAATTTATTATTTTTTATAATATAGAATTTATAATAAAGAATTTTAATATATATTAAAATTCTTTATTATAAAGAATTTTAATATATATTAAAATTCTTTATTTAGTCGAAGAAATTGCATTTCTTGAGATTAAAATGTTTTATGTATTAAATTAAATAAAAAAGTTTTTGTCAAAGTTAGTGAAAAATGAATGTTTTTTTTAAGGTTAGATATATATAACATTATTACCAGCCGTGTTTTTTTTTATTAATAAGCATCTTTTGCATATCTTTTGCTTAAAAGTTATGCTGATATGATATCAGCATAACATTTATACAAACCAAAGTATAATAACCAAACATTTATACAAACATTTATACAAACCAAAATATAATAACATTTAGTTGTAATAACAAACTATATTTTGTAAACGTTTAATGTTGCTTTTATAGTACCATTATGGATAACGAAAAAATTATTTAAATAATGGCAAAACGACATTCGGTCAAAACTTTGTATCCACTGCGATCGGGCCAGTGCTGGCCCGAAATCAAATGCCGTCGTAGTGGCTTACAACTATTCGCCAAAGCTCTGGCATTTCGTCGCACGCCGCTGCGACTTCTTGCGATGATTTACCATACATAAAAAATTGCTTGAATTGCTTGCCAGACTCGCGCCAGTAATGGCTCGTTACTAATATAGTCGCAACGGCGTGCGATAATTTGCCAGAGTGCTGGCCCGGAGTCGTGTGCTGTCTGGGATGTCCATTTATGGAACAGAAGGGTAAGGAGTAGAAGAGATAACTGAATAGGTTTAAAATAAGGAAAAACTAAAAGCTGTCCCAGTGGGCACACGACGTTCTTTCGACGTTGATTTACAGTTGATTTTTAGTCGCGACGTCGTATAACCTAAAATCAACGTTGTATCCACGTTGAAAAATTTGTTTGAAACTATCAAATAACATCGACGTTGATTCCAAGTCTATATTACTAGTTCGTCTATATTACGTCTATATTATCAGCGTCTATATTACGAGTTCGACCGTTCGTAATTGCAATACGAGAACTAAAATACGCATGCGTGACTTAGAATTTTTTTCATTAGCATAACAAATAACAAGTAAAGACTTAATAAGTTACTTATTAGCCCAATAAAAACAAGTAAAGTCACACATGCTAATAAATTAGGCCATCTGTTGCCTTTTTATAAGGTTTTGAATTTGACAATTTAACAATAATACATGGCTTAACTTGTGATGCAGTTAGCTAGGTAAATATTAAATGGATATTTCTTTATGACCGTATTATTTCATGAGTGTGGATTACAAGAAGAGATTACTTGATATATTATATAAATATAAAATATATATTATATATGTTTTTCTTATTTATATAATATATATATATATATATATATATATATATATATACAGGCCCGCCGCGACCCTTTATGACGCCTGGGGTCAAAACTTATCTAGCGCCCTGTCATATTGATCTAATTCAAAAAAGTTTAGGTACTGTCCAAATACTGTCTTTTTATTTTTTTTTTGTTAACTAAATTCACTTTAAAGGCCGAGGGAGTAAATACAGTCGAGGAGGCTTCTATTTATTTTTAAAATAAATTTGAAATAAAAGTAAAAAAGAAGCACAACTTGATAAGTTACTGAACTTTATTACATTGCGAGTAACTATGAGTTTTAAATGTAATTAATATTTTAATTGCTTCATGAGAATTTGACTCTACGGGCATAATTTAAAGTAAAATTTGGAATGACCTCGTTGTATCATAGATTTTTTGCAAGATCATATTCAATAGGTATAACTAAGAAATTGGTAAGCCGGTCTTAACCGGTCTTAGCCGGTCTTAGCCAGTCTTAACCGGTCTTAGCCGGTCTTATTGTAGATCTTAATGTTGTCTAGACTAAGCTTACTGAAAGATCTCTTATTCGGCAATGGAAACGACATTGGTGTTAAAAATACGTAACAAAATGCCTATTGATTCGAAGATAGACTCTAGACCTTTTTAATAGATTCCATTTAACAGCTTCATCGAAGTGAGATTTTCTTTTGGACTGAAAAGCTTGGTGTGCTTCAGAATATCCAGATGATGTACCTCTAAAATTAGTTTGTCTTCATCTACATTGTTCACATAGATTTGCGCCAAAATTTACATTTCTCCTCCAGGCTAGGTGGTTCAGTTCCGAGAACCATAGGAAGGAGAAACTGTTTGTCATTTTTTCTGCAGCTCGAAATCTGTCTCTTATTTGTTGGATTAAAGTATTGAGAGCGGTGATCTTCCGTTTTTCATAACACCTTAACGTAAAAAAAATCAAAATCAACTTTTTTTTAAAAAATAAGCTTATTTAGGTGCCTGCAAAGGTTATTGAATAATTGTTTTTAAAGAAGTTTGAAAAAGTGCATACAAACTATATTTAAAAAAAAAAAAATTACAAAAACTTTTTTGTATTATTATTTTTAATTGCGTTTTTCTCGAAATACGTAAAAAGCATCTAAAGGCCTTAAATACAGTGTTAAATACGTTCACCTTAAACTACTTTTCATCGTTTTCGTAGAAATGAACTTCATTCCTTGCTTCTTTTTAAAAGGTTTTCCTCTTCCTTGTCCTTTTTTGAACTAACTTTGACTAAAACCCATAACTAGCTAAACCGGAGGTAACCAAATGTCTTCATTAACTAATTCGTGCCAAGAATATCTAAATTCATAAGATCCTTGATAGGAACCCTCATAAGCTTCATATCTTCATCTAATGTAATGTTTCCTAATTGAAATAACACCCTGACAATTGCTTGGCGCGCTTCGAACCACAACGTTGTCATGATAATAAACTCAAATGAATGAATCTATTTCTCCAAAGATGTTACGTCATTCAATAGATCAGCAGTTAAATCAAGTTCCTGAAGTTTCTGCAAAGAAAAAATCATTTCTCTACGTTGCTTAACCAACTGCTTCTCAATCCATACACTCCATTGGGTTTGTGAGGTTTAATCAAGAGACAAACAAGTTGTCTTCGTCAATATTTGACATTCTATAGGGCTTCCCCTAAAAAGATTGTAGAGTAACTGAATCAGGCCTCAATAGTTCTTCATTTCTACAGAAGATTCAAGGAAATGAACACCAGCTAGGTTAAGGTTATGAGCGCTGCATAGCATGTAGAAAGCTTCAGGATTTTTCTGAAGGATGATCGCTTTTACTCCTTTGTACATACCAGATATGTTGGCATCGTTGTTGTACCTTTGACCTAAACAGTTCTTCAGATTGATGTTATTTTGATCCTAGAAATCCATAATTATCTTGGCAATATCCACAACTTTCTTTTGTTTAAGATTTTCGACCTTAATAAATCGCTTCTTAACTACCTGTCTTTTATCAATACCATTGTAGACAAAGCGGAGAACAAATGCAATTTGCTCAGTATAAGAGACGTCAGGCGTTCCGTTGACAAAAAATAAAATAGTAAACTACTATATGCGATTCTTTAATGATGGCACCATGGAAGATTCTTCCGCACTTTTTTATAAATTTATTTTGGGAACTCTAACCCAAAGAATGCACAATAATTTGTTTACCTTCATGTTGACACCAGGAAACTTCTTTCTGATGTAACTAAAGGGTCTTGTTGTGCTTTGCGAGTAGCTCTAGAGTTGCAAAAAAAATTGCCGTTATCGTCATCATTGATCATTTTTGAAAAAGAGTCTAAAACGACGGTTTTAATAGATACATGTAATAATACATGTTTACACAAATAAACCATTTCTGTTTAATTATAATAAAAATAAATTATGACATAAATATAAATACAATAATTAACATTCACTAATATACCTATAATTAACATTTACTAATTTACATCTAAGATGCACTTTAAAATTTCACACTGACGGGCTGCCTCATTTCGTATTGATTTTTCTAAACTTGAATCAATCTCGCACCGGTTTCCCTTTTAGCGCTGTTTTTCACTTAATGTAATAGTCTCGATGGATTGTTTTGGTGGCATTTTTTAACTCTATTGATGTCACCATTCCATATTTAATATATATATATATATATATATATATATATATATATATATATATATATAATATATATATATATATATATATATATATATATATATATATATTGATTATATATGTTTTTTTTAACCTAGCAGCCCTTAAAAATATTTTCCCGCAACGGTTTTGGCTAGTGTTTTCACTTGTTTTAAAAGTTTTTATTTGTGCGCCCCTTCTGATTCTGCGCCCAGGTAAAAAGTACCCAGTGACCCTCCCCACGCGGCGGCCCTGTATATATATATATATATATATATATATATATATATATATATATATATATATATATATATATATATATATATATATATATATACATATATACATATAGTATATATATTTATATTATGTATATACATATATAGTGTTAGGTACGCGGATATCGCGATTTACGGAACCGATTTTTATGCTAAAATATTGGTTCTCGATTTTTTAACTCTTTTTTAGGCAGCATGAGGCAGACGTAATTTTATGGAGTTTCTTTTTAGAAACATATATGCACATAGATACTTTTTTGAAAGAAGAAAAGTTAATCTTGATTTATATATGACATTTATGTATGGTTACTTAACATTTTTATGGATTATTTTGCTCGTGAAAATATGGTTGATGTTCTCACATGAATATTTAGTAGTGGAAGTATTGATCCCCCTTTTTTTATTATTTAGATAATTTTCTACATGCATTTTCTATGCACATGCCAAATTTCAACTAAAAATAAAGCTCCGCAGATAGTTTAATTAGTGTAGAACTTTTGGTACCTAATTTTGGTTTTTCTGATGTTTTTTTTGTTAAGCGAAATACGGGGGCGGCTAGGGGAGCCGACTTTACAAAAAAAAAAAATTAATCCTTATTTTGTATTATTTTGATTTTTATTATTAGATTAAAATAAAGCATGAACTCTGAGGACAGAACTCTACTTGCATCCCTAACAGGTAGTAAATTTAATTTTTTTAAAAAAATATCAATAATAACTATTTTAAATCAAAAAATATTCATAAATCATTTATGAATATTTTTTGATTTTTAATGTAATATATAAAAACAGATTAATTCCTAATCTGTTTTTATATGTTACATAAAAAAGAAGATTAATGCTTCAGTCTAAAACTTTGGCTTTTAAATGGATTGTTAACTAATAGTATCTGTTGACAATTTTATAAAGACAAAACATATAAATAAGTATACAAATCAGATACTTCATTGGTTTATTCCTTGCAAAAGACTTGTTACTATTTTTAAATATGAAAAAATTTATCAACTTATTATCATCTTTTATTATTTTTGGATTGTATACTTCTTTATCTGTGGATTATTATTTAAATCACAATACAAGCATGCCTAATGTTTGCATGTTGTTTAGATCCTGCTGCTCATTATGAAGCCTTTTTGAGATATCGTAAGTATAAATCACATACTTTATATATAACCACAACCAATATAACATACTTAATATATAAACAAAGTGAATAACCATTCCTAATGTTAGCTTGTTGTTTATTAAAGTATTTTCTTTATATTTTCACTGTTAGTTTTCATTATGTTAATAAAGTTGTTGCATCTTCTACAGAACTATGATAGTTACTTTCATAATTGCATAGCGTTTTGTTGTAATTATACACTTTTTTTTGTTATTTTTAGTTCGATCTACCCAGCCTATCACTTGTAAGTTTGTATAGTATAACTTGAATATCAAATATTAACATGTATATCTTGGTTTAATTTATATTATTTTTGATCTTTACTTTATTAGTTGCTCGGTTAGTTATTTTAAAAGCTAGTACTTTTTAATCTGTAAATAAATTTAATACCAATTTCAAAGTCGTCAATTGCATAATTTATTTTTTATTACTTGTTTTTACTTTTAGCAACATCTTCATCCGCAATGAGTGGTAAGTTTAACAATTACTACTTTTTAATGTTTGCATTTCTTGACAATTGCAAATTTATTTATTCTATAAACTTTTTAGTTCTTGTTCCATCCTCAACTGCATTGAGTGGTAAGCTTAAAAATATTTTTATAGCATCCTTCAAAAAACCTGTTCATATATGTATGTATTTTGGATCAATTGCAATATTTATTTTTTATTACAATTTTTTTAAATTTAGTTCGATCTACATCTGCTATAATTGGTATGTTCACAAACTTTTACTTTTCAATCTGTTTATGCATTTCTTGGCATTTCTTCGCAATATTTATTTTTATTTCAACTTTATTAATCTTTAGTTACATCTTCAGCTGCTACAAATGGTAAGTTTATAAACTATTATTTTCTGATATGTGTATGCATAATATATATGTGTAAAAGTATTGTTTCTAATATGTGTATGCCTATCTTATCTATTGCAAATAAATTGTAATTTGATTTTTTACCTTTAGTCCCACGACCTCCACAACAAGATGTGCAACCTTCTGCTGGTAAATTTATGATTTAGAAATGTTTCTAAATGATTATTTAATTCATAATATTTTTATTTATATTCATTAATTAATACATTTGTATTATGTTATCCTTCAAAGTGCAGTAGAAGTAAAATCCAGAGCAGTATTTAATTTTTTATTTTAATCAACATTTTTCAAGCTATCATTGATTTATTATTTCTTCATTTTATTTATGCAGCCAATCAAATAATTGGTTTATATTAAATTTTATGTAATGCCATTCACTAATGTAGTTACTATTTATTGTCATTTAGACTTAACATATGGTGCCTATAGGAGATATAGGGACCAGCACCCTGGACCGATTAGCAATCGATCATATTTGCGATGGGTCCGGTAAGGAGGGAATGATGGTGAATCATTCAGCTGGGCCTATCATCCTCCTAACAGGGGTGCTGGGAGCTACAGCAGAAGAGGAAGCCATGGTGGAGGTCGTGGGCGAAGAAGGAATGGTGGCGGCCTCACCGTGAATGGTGGCATACACTATTACTAGGCGCCACCATTTCTGTTTTTTTAAAAAATAAATATATAACATTATCAAGTTTGTTTTTCATTTGTTTACAATTTTTACAATTAATAATATTTGAATTATTTTTTTAAAATTTTTACCCATAATATTATAAAAACGAAGCATTAACAGGTGTAATATTAGGTGTTATACAGTTTGCAAGGGAAATAATTTTTATTTTTTCAATGTGATTAAAAGTTGTACTGTAAAAAGTATTAAAGTTTTAACTATAAATAGTTATAAACTTTTAAAGGTGTTTAGAATTTTTTTAAGATTTCATAGCCCATATTAAATGTTTTAAATTTATGTGCAATTTTTTATTGAGTTAATTAATGTGAAATATCTTTTGCATACTTAATTACTAATCTTTTTTTTTTTTTTTTTCAGCTTATTTACTGTTTGTTTGAGTTAAGTAATATTATTTGATTTTAAACTAGTTTAACTATTTGATTTTAAACTAGTTTAACTATTTGATTTTAAACCAGTTTAACTTATGTTTACAGTTTCTAAATATTATATTTACGTAACCATTACTTGTTTGTAGAAGGTATGTATGAGATTTTTTAAGTCTATATTATTTAGTACTTTTTTTACATGTTGTATTATTATGTTATTAATTGTTAACAAATTAATCTATATTTGTTTATTTTTCAAAAATTTTAATTAAAACTATTGTATATTAACTCTTTATATTTATATTTTTTAAAGGATTTAAAGATCCAAAAAAAAGTGGAGTTATGTTTCCGGATGCAGTGAAAAAGGATTTAGCTGTAAACTTTACTTTGCATGGCGAAACACCTACACGCTGTCAAAATGGACATTTAATTCTTTTATTCATTAATAACGGTGAGTCCATTGTTAATACTCTTAAACAAGTCAATCAGTTATTTAGCTTTAACACTGGTAAACATAAACTTTATAATGTTATCAACATTTCCAAAAAATTGGCTAAAAATTATGATAGGGATTTTTCAAAATTTACTGAATTTTGTAATCATCCCTTTGAATACCATTCACCAAACATTTCATTGAAAAAGGCAATAGATCTTAATCAGACTAGTTCATTGATTACTGTTTCAGGGTCTTCTGTTCTGTCATCCCATGAACATATGGCTGTTTTACCCCTAGTTAATGACACACCAATTTCGTCTGAAATTTCCATAGAAAATAAAAAAAAGCATGCATCTAGAGAAGAACTAACCCCCAAAAAAGCTAAACTCATCACTAGGTTATCCTATTTGTCTTCTCAGTTAGCTATCTCAACCAAAGACTATAAGAAAAAAGTAGCAAAAGTTAAATTGAAATACAATAGCATGCCATATAAGTTAAAAATATTCTAAAAAAGTATAAAAAGGAAAGAAGAAATTATTAAAGCTTTAAGGACAGAAGTTAGAGAACTAAAAAAACAAATTAAAACTTATCATTACAGTCGGTTATTTCGCAATCTTAAAGCAAAAAAAAAGGCGTTGACAGTAAAAGAAAAACAAAACTTAATGCAAATAACAGTAAAACATAATAATGATGGTATTATATCATTTTCTAATTGCTCAATTAGAAAATGATATTTTCCAGATGAAAGAGGGGAAAATTCCAAATGTTAATATGTCAGAAGACAATAAGAGTTACCCTTTAAAAATGAGGATGATAATTTATAGCATGTTATTAGCCAATGTTCCAACCGGTAATATTCAATTCCTAATTTCAAAAATTGGGCAGTATTTGGGTGTTAACTTTATGGACATTCCTCATCGTTGTACTATCGAACAAATGGCTCGTGAGCTTGGCAGTATAGCAGAACTGCAGGCAGCAGAATGGGCTATGAGTAATTCTTATCTTACACTTGGAGTCGATGCAACAACACAAGAAGGTGTTCATATCAACACTGTTCATCTGACATCTAAAAACAACTGTCAGGTCATTGCTCTGGACCAGTTACCAGGTGGAACAGCTGTTGATTATGAAAGCCATATATGTGGTGCAGTTGATCATTTAGCTTTTATTTATTCAGATTTTCACTTGCTTCCCTTTAATGAATGTCGTAGTTCAATCATATCAAATATATCCAACACAATGTCTGACAGGGTGTCGGTTAATCATCTTACCATTTCCAAAATTTGTAATACCTGGGGAAAGAATTTGAATGAACTAAACTGTCATTTACACCCTCTAGACACAATTGCCATTTCAGGTCGGGAAGTTTTGAAATCTCTAGAATTGGAACATTGCAAATTGTATGGAAGTGATTGTATGGCAGTAAAAATTGTGTTAGCACTAAACAAGATGAGGTTTAAAGATGGCAAAGGTGATCCACAAGGTTTTGTAAATTTTTTAGACAATAACAAACTACCGCGAGGTATTATTCCATGGTATCGTGGTAACCGCCTGCACATTTTTTTCCATACCTGTTTCATTTTTATAAAACACTATACTGATTTTCTAAATTATCTGACCACTGGAACAGTAAAATGTTTCAGTTTACAACCGATTCTGCGAGAAGCATTTTGCAATGCAACAGCTATAAAACAAATGGGAGTGCTTGCGCTGTTCAGTAAACTTCTAAGTGGACCATGGATGACTAAGTTTTATGTATCACTGATGATGCAAATTTTGATCATGTCACTGGTATCCAAGTAGTAAAAAATGTTTTAAAAGAAATAACTTATTGCAAATCTGATCTAGCTATACTATTTTGTAGAGAAACAGATTTTTTTGGGACAACGCTTGCCCCAAATATTTTACAATCTATTACAGCTTTATGCCCCATTGATGAGCAAATTGTTGAAATGACTTCTGCTTGTCTAAATGCAATTGATGAAGTTTTGACTCGTCAGTATAAAAGATATTTTTCTCTTTCCATTACTGCAAAACTCAAAAAAGAGACAGCTAGTGCAAGGCTTCACAATATAGATAGTGAAGAATTAGTTGGTATGTTTAGTGATGCCAAAGGACGATGCCCCAATGCAACAATTTCTTATATATCTAGCAAATTAAGATCCAAAAAGAATAAAACTATAGATTATCTCAATAATCTTGAGGAGTTGTCTAGAGAAAAGGTAGTAAAGTGGTCTATTTACATGGCACGTAAAAAAAGAATGAGATCTCGACTACTACATAATGAAATTCGAACAGAAATTTCTGTTAGACAGGTGTTTAAACGTCAAAAAATGGATGAAAAACAAAAAAGAAAGTTAGAGCGTGAGCTATGTCTATTAACTACCAGCGAAATAATGAATTTATATAAACACTTATCTGCCAAGCAACTTGATGATTTAGATGATATGTCTGAAAGAATTGTTGGAAGAAAACTCTGTCACGAATGGTATGTTGTCAACTATTCAAAGACAGTTATTTATGATGGAAGAGTAGAAAAAGTAAACAAGAGGCAACAAGACAGAATTTACACTATTTCTTACTGAATTCAAGATGAAACAGATATTGAAGCTGTTGAATATAAGATGAAAAAAATACAGCTTGCTGCTGATGTTATAACAGGAGAATTAGTATTTTCTTAATTTGAATATAAAAATAATTTATATGCTACATTATTTAAATTTTTATAATTTATATTTGAACATGAAAATAGTTTATATTATGTATAACAGTTTTTAATTATATTTACATTATATTGAAAAATTACCAAAGAAGTACCGCAAATTGTGTAGCTTGCAAATATGGTACAGCAAGTTGTGTAGCTTGCAAAAGGAGTATCGCAAGTTGTGTAGCTTGCAAATATGGTACAGCAAGTTGTGTAGCTTGCAAAAGGAGTACCGCAAGTTGTTTAGCTTGCAAATATGGTACAGCAAGTTGTGTAGCTTGCAAAAGGAGTACCGCAAGTTGTTTAGCTTGCAAATATGGTACAGCAAGTTGTGTAGCTTGCAAAAGGAGTACCGCAAGTTGTTTAGCTTGCAAATATGGTACAGCAAGTTGTGTAGCTTGCAAAAGGAGTACCGCAAGTTGTTTAGCTTGCAAATATGGTACAGCAAGTTGTGTAGCTTGCAAAAGGAGTATCGCAGGTTTTGTAGCTTGCAAATATGGTACAGCAAGTTGTGTAGCTTGCAAAAGGAGTATCGCAAGTTGTTTAGCTTGCAAATATGGTACAGCAAGTTGTGTAGCTTGCAAATATGGTACAGCAAGTTGTGTAGCTTGCAAAAGGAGTACCACAAGTTGTGTAACTTGCAAATATGGTACAGCAAGTTGTGTAGCTTGCAAAAGGAGTATCGCAAGTTGTGTAGCTTGCAAATATGGTACCGCAAGTTGTGTAGCTTGCAAAAGGAGTATCGCAAGTTGTGTAGCTTGCAAATATGGTACCGCAAGTTGTGTAGCTTGCAAAATATTTTTGATAGACGGCTCTGGCTTACCTTCACGTGGTGTCTATTGTTAAAAGTGATTTATTTAGTTTCATTATTGGAATTTTAAATAATATCATTTACTAAAAGCCAAGACAAATTTATTATATTTAATGTTTTGTAACTTTTTAAATGCAAGTTATAAAATTTGTTTTATCTTTGGCTTATTTTTAGGGTGGATACTCCATCTTACATCTTATAATGTGGTAAGATTTGTAAAGTTATGTCTGTCTTTTTAAATAAATGGAATTGAAAAACGTTTTTAAATTTCTATAAACATTTTTTTAAAGTGTGAATAAGTAGAGGGGAGGGGGCGTTGGTCGTGACACACGCCCCTCCCCTAACTAATATAGTAAAATAATCTTGTATACTAACTTATTTTCTTCAATAAACTCAATTGAAAACCTTTTTTTGAATCTCTTTTTAAAATTTTTTTTTAGGTTGGAGAACACTAGGGGAGAGGCAGAGGGTGTTCCAGCCACACATCCCAGCCATGAAGTCAATTAATACAACACTTTTAAATGCTGTATAGTAAGAAAATACAATTTAAACTTTTAAACACAAAATATAATCAGTGTTTTTTACAATTTAAATTTACAATTTGAACTTTTTAACACAAAATATAATCAGTGTTTTTTATGTTAAAGTATTTATGAGAATGGAACAATTCACTACAAGGGTGTTAAAACGTAACAAAGACATCGACTTTTTAATCTAAAATAGACCACTAATATTTGGAAATGGAATGGAAACAAATTAGAACAATTTTTTGTGTATAAAGATAATATATTTTATCAGAAAAACACTTTTTCGTGTGAAAAACTTGTATTTTTTTAAGGGTACGAGGGTGTTCCGGTACCCCCTCCGGCCCTCTAGACACCCCTTTTATCTATAGAGTTATATGAACTTGTAGCCTACTCTTACATCTATCTTTTGATACCAAGGTATAGACATTTGGATAAGATTTGACAAAGTTATAACAATTTTAGTGGGAAAAAAAATAATTTTGGAACCAGTTTCTTCAATAAATCCATATATCGAAAATTTGCTACTAAAAACGCTATAACTTTTTATAGAATTGTCCGATTTTCATAATTTTTTCACCTTTAAAATACTGTATTTGAGGGCTTTCTAATGATATATAATAGTCTAATATGTAATTAATTTAAAAAAATCAGTCCACGTACCTATTAGTGTATGTTATATATATATATATAGTTTATATATTATGTATATACATATATATTGTATGTATATATTATATATGCATATTATATATATATGTATATATATATATATATATATATATATATATATATATATATATATATATATATATATATATATATATATATATATATATATATATATATATATATTGTATGTATATATACACACACACATGCAGATATATATATATATATATATATATATATATATATATATATATATATATATATATATATATATATAGTATATATATTTATATATATATATATATATACTATATATATATATATATACTATATATATATATATATATATATATATATATATATATATATATATATATATATATATAGATATATATATATATATATATATATATACATATATATATATACATATATATATATATATATATATATATATATATATATATATATATATATACATATATATATATATATATATATATACATATATATATATATATATATATATATATATATATATATATATATATATATATATATATATATATATATATATATATATATATATATATATATATATATATATAAATAAAGGAAGAGTTGCCTTAATTGGAACAGTTAAGGAATAATTATTTATTAACCTAAGATGGCTTTTTACTAACTAATCGAAAGTTTTATTGTGTTGAATTTGTGAATGAAAATGGATGATGTTTTACAAAATAATGATTTATCAAGCTTTTTTACCAATCCATGTGATTTAAAGAGTTTGAATATTTTTTGTATTAAAAAATTTTTATTAAATTTTTAAAGATTTTTCTTGTAAAGTTGTATAAAAAAGAATTTGCGAATGCTTCTTTAGTCCATAATATTGGTAGAAAGATCAACATAAAAGTTTAGCAAATTTTAGCAACTGTATAATGTATCATAACGCACAGTTTAAAGTTGTATTTTTCTGTTAGCTATTTTACATGAACAAATTTTTAATATATGAGTATTTTTTCTATTATATTTTCTACTATACTTTTCCAGTTGAAAAAATATATTAGGGCAAGCAAAATGTTCATTCGAGCTGTTTGGATAGAAAATGCAGAGAAATAAAGAGAGAAAATTCGATTGATAATTTTTTGTGCTGGCCATCGTCATTAAATGTAATAAATTGTTTCAATGAAATGCATAAATTGCATCTAACTTATACAGATTTACGCTGCTCAAAATTAAATGTCATGGAGATAATGTAATTTTTTTAAATTTAAACCTTAAGTTATTACTTTTTTTCCTTGTTTTTTTAACATGCTTTCATTCTGTATATGTTGTTTTCAGTGTTTAGATATATTCTTTATTATATATTCTTTATTATATAATGTATTTAAAACATTTTTAAATTGAATGAATATTCTTAGATCATGAGTTATGTGATAAATTTGAATTTGCTACTACTAGTGATACTCAGATAAAATCAGATTCAGAAAAACGGTAACTATTTTAAAAGATACTTAATTTTATTAGATACTTAATTTTAAAAGTATTATTAGTTTTAATTTGGTATTAATTTTTATTGGAGCCACTACCATGCTTATGCAAGAGAAAACATAATAACCAACTGAAGAGTCAGCAAGTACCTACTCCTGTAACACAAAAAAAAGAAACAGAAAACATAATTTATGCATACTCCACATACTGTAGCTCAAGGTATTAATTGTCTGTCTGCAAGTTGATTTAGGAAGAAAAGATTCTGAACATTTTTTTCTATGCTTCAGTGATTTACACATTTTACTGGTTGCTAAATTAATACATTTTATTTAAATTATGAATAAAGTTTTATTTTATAAATGTTTTGTTCTTGTGTTTCAACGCTTTTAGAAAATAATTAATGTTTGGTTCATTTGTCTTTCTGATATATCTTTATTGTTAGAAAGAGATGTTAGTAAAAACTCTTTCCAGTAATTAAAGTAATATCATGACAAATAGTTCTGAAATTCTATGGATGAACTTGCAGCAGTAATTTAATGATTATGATAACAGTTTAAATGATTCTTGGGTGAGGTCAGAAGTGATGGGTTGTTTCAAACCATGCCTTTTTGCAGTTTTTTTTATTGTTTTTTGAAAAAGTATTTATTAATAACTTAGCCTAAGTTAATCTACTTGTACCTTTTTATAAATGTACTATAAAAATAATGTGGTGTAATTATTTTCTTAAACCTTTAGGTTAACAAACTTTCTAAAATTGGAGGTAAAACCATTAAGACAAATACAAAAAAATGTGATTCTAAGGTTTGTTAAAAGTAGTTTTAAATAAAAAATTTTTTGAATCTTTTTATTATAGTTTGTTTTAAACTTGTGTTAAAAACATGTGTAGCATATATTTTTAAAAGTTTTGGGAGACATAAAATAAATCTTTTTTTTTTGTAACTGTTTTCTCTTACTTTTGTATTTCCTTGAGCTAAAGAACAACCTTAAAGTACAAAGGTTGATTTGTAACGCATACTTAACCTTTTTTTTTACTCGATATATACATACATATATATGTACATAAATAAAACATACATATATATGTATGTATATATAAATACATATGCTTATATGAATATATATATATATATATATATATATATATATATATATATATATATATATATATATATATATATATATATATATATATATATATATATATATATATATATATATATATATATATATATATATATATATATATGTATATATTTGCAATAACTGCTTCATTGCATTGTGGCATGCTTGCAATTTATTTTTTATATTTTCTGTCAACTCTGGGTTATTATGCGCGATCTTGATAATTTCCATAAGATCTTGCTTATTAGTAAGATTTTTTTTTCCAATCTCTTGCTTTACTATTTCCCAAATGTTTTCTAATGGGTTAAGATCATGCGAGTTGTCTGGCTATAGCAATACATCAACTAATCCATAACAGTTTTTATTGTGTGGCAAGTTGCACCATCTTGCATAAATATAAGATTTTTGACATTATTTTTAATATTTTTAAATTTTTTTGTCAATTTTTGACTTTTTTGGCTGGACATCAATCCCTCTTCTTTTAGCCTTCTACAAATGGTCCGGTCTGACACAACAATTACAGCTTCATGGATAAGCTTAGTAGCTTTTTTTCTGTTTTCCAGGCAGATATTTCTGATTATACTGTCCGCTCTTGGTGTTTTCTTGCATTTAGAAGGTGGTTTCCTTGGACCAAACTCATCCCCTGTATCAGGGGATGAGTTTGGTCCAAGGAGACCACCTTCTGTTCTGTTGGAGTTTGGTCCAATTCTTTTTCTTACTTGCATTACGGTTTGGTAAGAAACCTTTGCGGTTTGTGCAATTTTTCATTGAGAATAATTTGTATTTTGTAAAAAACATGTTTATCAATTTTTAATGTAACTATAATGATAATAACAATGTGTAAAGCAGGTTGTTAACCAATGGTTTATAATCAAAATTTAATATGGCTAGCGGTAAAGGTAAAGAGAAGTTTAAAGGAACAAACATTAGGTATTTACTTGTAAGTTAAGTGTAAAATTATATATTTTTTAAAAATCACAGTTTGTTTTTTTAATGCTAATTTATTTTTAACTTTTTGATGTATTTGATGCAAATTACTCAGGCAATACCTTTTTTATAGAGAGAGTTTTGTCAATTAAAGCGACTGCTACAATTGCCGAAATAAGAAAAGGAATAATGACTTTATTAAAATACGCACTCGACAGATGAATGGTGGTGGTCGGCGCGTAAAAGGCGATTCACCCGATGTATAACATTCATACTTTTTCCTAGTTGTTCTGGAACAATTGATAATAGTTATTATTGATAAATTGATAAATATATTACTGATAAATAAAACTTTTTTTTTAAACATTTTATTTTATTTGCATTTTATATAAAGTCCGTTGAAGCAATTTAGTTGTATCTGATTAATTTACGTGAAATATAATATCCTCTGCGCAAATTATTGTTTTTTTATTGTGTTATTTTATTGCAATTAAAGTTGAGATAATTTTTTAGTTAATTGGATTTAACCAAAATAAAAAAACAAAAATCAGCGTTGAATTTACGTTGTTTCAACGTTGTTCTAACGTCTTATCAACTACGTATCCATCGAATATATCACCTATTCAAAGTTGAAATATGGTTGATATGTAGTCGATAAGACGTTAGATCAACGTTGAAACGACGTATTCATCGACGTTGTTTCAACGTCGTAGTTTTTGACGTCGGATTTTATTTCCAATTCAACCAAATTTCAACGTTGTTTCAACATGGCATATGGTCGGTTTGCGACGTTGTTTCAACGTTATTTCAACGTCATTGTTCCTGCTGGGGTTATATTTTGGAAAAAAGACAGAATTAATTGAAGATATAAGATAGTGATAATGCTGTGTTAGTACTTTATTGAGTGTTTTTATGAAGCTTAAATTTTTTGATAATGGCAAAGAAAGCATTTCTAGTAATGTTTGGGATATTATTTTTTATTAAAAATGGCAGAGAGTTCCGAGAGTGAATTGATTGGTATTTACCCGCTGGGAAATGAGATAGCGACTAGTGAGTCGCTATCTCATTTCCCAGAATTTGGATTTTTCACCCAAGTACCACCTTTAAGGTGGTACTTGGGTGAAAAATCCAAATTCTTTATTTCTTGCTATTTAAATTTGATATTTTGGTACAACAATTATATACAGATAACTATGTCTTTTTTTAAAAAATTTTTTTTTTTTTTACAGAAAACCCTTTTTTGGGTCCAAAGGTCTCAAAATGGTCACTTTACAGTGCGTCAAATTCAGGAAAAACCACCTGTAGAATGATACAATTTTTACAATTTGTTTATAGTATAATTTTACAGGTATGGGAGCAGAATTAGCCTGATTGCATAACTAGATCTAAGGTAAATAAAATTCAAGTACCTTGCTTATAAAAAGGCTAAAAAATAAAACTTTGGGCTTGGGTAACTCTGGACCGAAAAAAAACTTTTCAAAAAATGTTGGTTCTAAATCTGTATAAATAAAAAATATAACCATCCTATAAAATTTCAAGAGTAAAGCTCAAATCAATCAAAAGTTATATGACACACCGTTCAAAAAATTCAATTTTGAGATAAATGCAATTAAAGCAATAATATACTAAAATATCACTAAATTTCTTTTAAAGATTCAAAAAAAAGAAGATTTTCATGATTGATCACCGTAAATAAAAAATAATAAAAATCTCTCTAATATAAACCATAACCATACTTCATTTCTTCTACATTGATTAGTATTTATGAAACCTTTTATGAACTCTTTGAATATATTTTTTTTGATTTCCTTTCCATTGACATTACTCTTTGGTTGTTATTTGAAACACAGAACTGATTTGCATAAAATCCTGGAATACCTATGCCCTTTAAAACCTTTAGAGTTCTATTTGAACTATCATTAAAATTTATAACTGCAGAAACTACACCTAGCTCAACTGGTTTTAAAAACGTAGATATCTTTTTGAAACCCTTTCCAAATCATTCCATTTAGTGACTCATTTATTAATTAGTTATTTTGAGTTTTGCCATAAAGATATTTTTTTTGTAAATTGTCATCACTCAAATCTAAAAAAAACAGATTTTATTTCTTCAAGGACAACAATAGGTAATTCCTCCCTTATATTTGTATGTTGCTATGCCATTTATTTTTTCAGCCTGATATTTACAGCAACTATCAGGAGTACATGGGCACATTTGATACGATCTATATTCTTATAATATCTTTTGCTTAAGAGCAATAGAAAAGCACTGTTCCAATTACTTTTTTCATCCACAGAGTTTTTCTAAACTAGCATAACTTTTTCCAATTTTCCTCATAGCAATAACAAAACGTACATAAACCTCAAACAGGTCTACCACAACTGCTTTTGCATTTACATTCTTTACTTGAATGAAAAGTTGCACATCAACAAAAACTTAAACATTATAACAATAATGGTATAGACAAGCCATGCTTTCTCAAGAAGTTAAATGTTCGACTCAAAGTCTTTTTGTCACAGGGCATGTTGCAACTAAATTAATAATTTCCATAAAAAATGTTAATAGAAAAAAGTATAAAAAATCAATAATATGCAGTTGGGTTTGAAAAATTTACACAAGGAAACAAACTGGGTGTCATTGGTGAATGAATATGATGCAAAGTTTGTTAACCTGGCTTCATTAGTGATTTTAGAAGGTAATGATGCGCCTCATGATAAATATGGCAGATTTATTTGAAGAAATAGGTGGGTTAGAAGGAGGAATCTCAGCTGGTTCTTCTTGTGTTTTTTTTTTGTGTGTGTGTGTTGGTTACCTTTGAATGTCCGTTTAGAAGATGCTTTTGAGTGGCCAGATTTTCTTTGTAACATAGCTTGACTCTTTTTTTAATATTTATTATTATTACAACTATAAAGAATTGCAGCTTTTCAACTTTTAAACAATTTAAATGTCATGTATTACATGTATTTAATTGGTGACTTTTTGCATGAAGTTTATATATCTGTAAAACAATTTAATGATTTTAAAGCAACCAACCATGGGTTTTTACACATATTTTTAGAGGCTTTCAGTAAATCAAAATTGGTTGCTATGGGCGTTTCTACGAAAGTTGAGTTTGGAGTTTAAGAGTGCCTTTTTTAAAATAGAAAGTTAAGTATCATCTGAATTATTTTAAATGAAACAAATTACATAGGCGTTTTCTGCATAGCTCAGTTTACTTAAAAACATTCACTTTGAAATTTTCAATTTTTTCCTTTATTTTCACCCAAGTACCACCTAAATATCTTAAAAAACTCGATTTTTACTGTTAAGTCTATTATAATTATGAGGATAATTGAACTTTAAACATTGCAATTTAGTAGCAATGTGTCGCTAGCTAAATATCGTAGCTTTGTAGCTGGCTACAAAATATCTACAAATCTATAGCTGGTTGATAGCTACAAATCAAAATTTTTTCGACAACGATTATATTACGATATGACACTAGCTACAATAGCCAGTAGGTCTTTATCTTATTAAGCTAGCTTTCCTCATAGCCAAATAGCTGTCTTTATCTGTACAAATATTGATAGTTTTTTGCTTACTTAAAACAGCTAGCGATCCTCCTGGCCAAATCGCTGTCTTTATTGTTACTATTATATCTAGCTATTTGCAGGCCAATTTTCCCACCGGGTAGAAGATTTTTTTTTTTTTTTTTACAATTATTTTTGTCATATTTATAATAAATTATTTACAATATATACATTTTGA